CTGCGATTTTTTGGCACTAAACTCAAAATCGCAAAATTTGAAGCGCCATATTCGAGAGCTTCGTTCTTGACGTCCAGCTCACGGAATCTTACGCTTCAACATCCATCATGAAGCGTAAGATCTCTAATATTTTTAGCATACAAGATTGTGAATTTAGGTTTGGTCTTTGAAAAGTCATTGAATTTTGTTTGAATTACGCAAGAACTTTCGTGCCAACCTAATATTTATTGCTAATCTTCTTTTGTAGGAACTTTTGTGTGTGGCGAAGAAAGAAAGAAATAGTTCTATCATTTTTTATTGTGTTATCATTTTATAACATCATTTATAACATCATCTCAAATTTTTGGTCGTTCGTAATCGATATGTGTGCTTAATTTGTATGATACCATATTTTTGATTCTAAAGTTTATTAGAGAATTGTAGTAGTATATATTTTATTTATAGAGTATACATGGATTTGTTAAGGTACTTGAAATCAAAAACGACTTTGACGAATATTAGATCCATTTGCAAACGAACTTGGTTTGAGCTGTGAAATTTTTTGTAATCGGTTAAATAAATGCATGTTCTTGCTATCCTAAGAGTCTCTGTATAAATAGTTGCTTTTTTGATAGTAATGGAAATATATGAAATGACAGTCATGAATATTTTTACAATGAAATTCAAATAATCACTTTTCTTATATAATTTTGTTGATAATTTGCTTATTTCAATATTCAAATCCACATAGTTACAATGATGTGTATTGATTTATGTGTTGCTTCCATCGGAGATCATAGTAGCAATTTTTTTGAATAGTTCATCAACAGTACTTTCTTCCAAGTTAAGGATAAGCAGTAAATCGTCCATATCTATAAGAAAATACTAGGTTATTGTTTATGATAGTTTTGAATTCGCTTATCATGTGTGAACTTTATGGAGTTTTTACGAACATCTTGTATAGTGCTTCCTGCTCTATCAAATGGCAAAAACGCCTTGCCTCAAAGATAAGAACATTAAAATTCTGAGCAGGAAAAACTTGTGAGAACACTCAATTCAACAAAAATTGAAAATTGCAAGCATACACGATAATTAGGGACGTATTTTTCAATCTGTTGCAGTAGATGTTGAAGTTAACCTTCACTTATCTTCAACAAACTTGGACAGAAGATTTTTATAACGAGATCAAGCAATCATATACATTAGAGTATACGGCTGTCATCAACGTGATGCCCTGCTGTTTTGCTGTGTGCCGAGCTAATGAGCATTTGCACGACAAATAAGCAATGTTCTACAACGCATCAGGAAACTGCTCAGCAATGCTCGGGGTAATAACCTGACCGGGTGGACTCAGAACATTGCTATGTCTAGCTCATGAGCTAGACTAATGACCAAAATTGTATGAAAATGCAATTTCTGTTTCAAGTCAGAGCAAGGCTCACTTTTATTGCGCCTAAGTCCTAAATCCGCGGATGGCTGCGAAATGGCTGTATACTGTAGGATGTTGCGAACAGTTCCTTGATGTATTTGAGAGTGTGTTTTATTTTTTTATCTTTTAATCATGAATGCAAAACCTTTTCCAAAATATCCCATTGTTAACACTACTCAAATTCTGATCTTGGTCGCTAAATTCATGTTTTCTTTCTGCTGTGACTCAATAACCTAATTACCTTGAGTATGCTTATCTCAGTTCATTTCAAGTTTTACTCCCTATTGTGGGTCCTTCCATGTAACAATTGACCTCTTGCCTCATGATCAGAATGCATTAGCATTTGACGCTCTTTGCTAACCGAATAAGATTTGCTAAGGTAGTCAATTTGGATGCTATAATTAGTATCATAGATACTTTGTTGGGTAGTCAGGTAGTTGGATACTATCACTCTGGCTCTCATACCAAGTAAAAATGATTTCAAGTTCCTGTCCAGACTTAGAGTTTTCATTTTTTTTCTTACTGACTATTACCAGGCTTTCTGCTGCTTTGTAAAAGGTTCACTTTCGTGAATTCCAAGGAATATATAAGTAATGCAACTGTTTGATATCTCCAAAAAATGCTTAGAAATTGCACCCGCTCAGAATGCAATAATAATCATAATAATAATAACAAGAATTGATGTGTCATAAATTTTTACCGGTAAATAATTACAAAACTCCGTTTCGTTCCTGTAGACGGAGTAAAAGTATACATATGTAAGAAAGTTCTGTCTAAGTGCCCTAGATCACAAATCTTCTTGCAAACTACGAGAAATTTACTTTGCTTCAAGTGCCCCTCTAACGAGAATAACTTCATCATGGCAGCACCCATAATTCTTGCCACTACTGAATGGCTCCAATCACCTGTATGTCAAGCGAACATTCATGTTGTAAAGAAAAATATTTTGTATCCGGTTTTGAGTCTAGTATACACTTGTACAGTTTTATAATAGCTTTTCCACTTTTTGAAAAATGGTTTTTTTTTTGAAATGCCGAATTATTTCTTTTGTATGCTCATCAGATTCGATGTAAAATCAAAATGCTCGAGCGAAAAAGAAAAGTGAACCCGATAGAAGGTAAACCGTATTAAATATAGTTTTTTTGGACCAAGCTAGAAATCCACAAATAATTACACTGCTATGATGAGAATCAACCTATATATCCTGTTCAGAAGGGATGAAATTTATGACTCAATTTCTCCATCAAAATTGAATCAAGACTTCAAATCCATCAAGTTTGCATCAGAATTAGCACATAAAAGAGAAAGCCATCCAGGTGTTATGAATTTTTAAAAACTGATTATGACATTCTTGCATTTGGAGCTACGCAAATTTGTCAATTTTCGATGCTATTCGACAAGTAGAAGAAGTGGTGTGCACCTAATTACCGGTTGAAAAATGGTGTAAATAGCAAAGCGATGTTTCCAGAATTCTAATAATTATGGCTACTTTTGCTTTTCTAAAAAACTATTCATACTCTTTGATACGGTAGGAGCTTGATCATTTCTATAAGAAAATCTAATTTCACTCACTTAAATTTTTATTTCTTTTAAGTCAAATACTGTATCAGAATGATTTTGGGATGTTATTCCTAGTTCACTGTTGATTCATTCAAGGACAAGACGAAACCAATTATCACATACTCGTGACTTTTTGAGTTGCGTGTAAGTAGCATAACCCAAGTGTAAAGGGGCTTTTATTCGCTTGCCTATTATCTGAGTTGATCATAGAAACGCAAGCTTCCAAGATGTTCATTTCTTTTGCGCTTGTATAAAAACAAATAAGGAAGAGAGACAATTGTTGAAGAGCAGTTTTTTTTCGCTTCATCATCTTTTTCGACCATTTACCATTTTCATATGCCTATTATTGTCATCTACATCCATTTGGTACAGAAACATGAAACATCCAATCATTTCGATGAAATTTTCGACGCATTCCTACACCCATTTTTTCGACCATTTTCAACATAAAGGAGAATAATTATGGAGGACTTATAAAATTTATTGCCTCTTTAGTGCTTCAGAACGGGGCTGGTCATTGAGTTAATCTCTGAGCACTAATTTTTTAATTTCTCATGCGCCATCAAAATGTGTGCGCACAAGCACATGATCATTTTACCAATCATAAAATAATGTCAATTATTCAGCTGCTGTCAGATTTCCAAAAAAAGACGCTCTCACCTAAATGCTCAGAAATTGTTATTAGAGACTATTCCGGATGCGATCGATCCGCAATGTTGTTTTCCGTTACAAATAGCATAATTAGCTGGATTATTCCAGAAGAAAGCAGAAAGCAAATGAATAATTTACGTGTGGCGCTGCTCGTCGTCAATGGAGTAATCTCAACTTTGGGTGTTTTTGCTAATGTTTTGCTGCTTATTATTATATATTTCGCTACACCAAAGCCTATAAGGACCTACAGTGTTCTGATAATTAATTACGCAATCACGGATCTTTTCACGTCCATAGCACAGGTTTTGACAATACCAAGGTGAGTATCTTCCTACCGTAAACCGCAAATGAGCCGATTATTTGTTTTCCAGATTAATCACTGGCGACAACACAATACTAATTGTATTTTATGGTGCTTGCTCTGAACTTGGGCCCAGCTGGTGCCTTTACTCATTCTTCATTGAGACATTCGGCTTCAGCCATGGATTGAACTCTATTCTGCTTTCGATTTGCTATAGATATTTTTCGCTGCGATATGGTGTTCCGAGACGAAAACCAATCATTATGTGCTGTCTTTTGACATGCTTGCCATCATTGCTACCGCAGGTAATTAGTCACTAAAGAAGTGTTATGCTCGAAATATAATGATTGAATGTGAAAAGTCTTTTGACCTTATCTTCGTATAACCATTAGCACTCCTTTTTCGAAAAAAGTGTTCAAGTCAGCTCAAAGAGTAGAGAAAATCATAGTCTTTATAATGAGAGTATTTTTGAAAAATCAGAGATAGACACAAAAATAAATCGCTTGGTATTCGTTTGTTATGATATTGGAATTTCCATGAATGTTTAGGCCGTCATGCAATCGTAGCAATGAAGTGATACTATCTACTAGTAAAGGCAGTAATACAAATTTATTAGACTTTTCTTTTTGAGTGTGCAAAGATGTGCCGATTGTAACTGTTAGGAATGATCGTTTTTTGAAAAAGGTTAAATTATGATTTCGCCGTTCTCTTTAGCGAGCTCAAGAAAAACTTTTCATGGTAATGTTTGATGGCAGGAATTGAGCGCGATTAGTTGTAAGTTAGAGGCTTTTAGCGTTTTTTTTTTTGTTTAATGAGAACTTTTCAAATTGGGGAGACTAACTTTTTTGGAGCCAAGGCCCAAGTGATATTCCTTATTTGCTTTCAAATTTGTCGATTCCCTTTGTATTGAGCATGACCATAAGGCAAATTTCCTTTTTAACAAAATTATAATATTATCCTGACTTAAAAGTATGCACATGATTTTTAAGAATGTAACGACAGAATTTTTGGACCAATCTATTATTTTACCTTTAATTTGATCCGCAAAATTACAGCAACGCATGCTGAAGCATTTGTCAAATGGATCCAGCATCTTCCACTGAAAACGTTTATAAACCCTGTCTATCTAGTCTTCAGGTCCTATTATGGCAAAAGTGGGCAAGCGACTCAGTGGTACATGAACTTGTTAGCAAAACTCGTACCGATGTGTACACAAGAGGCTTATCCGTGGCAGGTAATCAACTAATTCTCATTTAGGGTACATAGATAAAAGACATTTTTTTATTCCAGGTATAATGAACGTATCAGACGTGCTGGTGCGATGTACTCTTATTCTATATATTCTACCATGGATCCCAATCGTAATTACAATAAATGTGCTGAAAAACAAAATGTATGCGTTAGTGCGTAGTCGCGAAAATGTGTTCAGTGCAGAGACGCTGCGTTTGCATGGAAATCTCATAAAGGTACGTTTATTTCTCAAGTTTTATTTTTCGTAATTGAATCAAAACTAGTGGCTCCATTTGCTCAAACAGCTTCGCAGACTCATCTGAGATCATCATGATTTTTTCAATTTCTTCCCCCCCCCCCTCACCCTCCGCCCTAGGCAGAATTTGGTTTCTTATTTTCAATGAAATCTTTGCAGTGTTATCGCGATTTTGAGCAAAAACATAGGCTGCTAAAATGTAATCTCTACCAGGAAAGATGTTCGAGAGAAAACATCCGCAACATGCCTACGAATTTAGCCGTCAAATCAATGAATTTTAGAATTATAATACATGCGCAGGTTTACTTCCATATAAATTTTACCTTTGTTGTCGAATATTCAAAACCATGGCATGCGCAAAGGGGGCGGAAGAGCGATTTTCTACTCTTTCGCAATGTTAAGTGTCCCTATACTAGTTTTAAAAACCCAGACAAGAGGAAAATGCGAAATATAAATAATCCTACTAAGTTACCATACCACGCAGTAAGCGTGATAAGAACGTTTTCAGTTTTTTGACCACTATGAAATCCACTTAGATTTTTTGAACGATGAAAAAATTTCTCACCTTTTCAGGCTCTTACGACTCAATCTTTGACTCCTCTCTTGCACTTGATCACTTACATCTGCTATGTTGTTGAGCAACATATTTTCCCCAACATCGCCACAGAACTTCTCATGTTCATGCCTATAGGTAAGATTCTCACGCAGATAATCATTACACAGTTTTATCTCCTCAGAACATTATATAAATTCATCTACTTTTTAGGCATTCTCTCCATCGTCACTCCCATCATCAACATATACTACATTCGACCATATCGTGAACAGTTTATACAGTGCTTGGGTTTTCGCGCTAAGGTGATCGAACAAAGAAGTTCCAAAGCAAGCTTGGGGAATAGATGAGATCACCGCGCCGAAGCACTCCAACAATGCTTATTTTGTCTCTTTATGATATCAGTGGTTTGATCCGGGTCTAATGCTTGTATGATTAGATGAATGTGGTTTAGAGCTAGGCTAATCATGGATAACATCATAACACGAAGTTTTTTCAGTCAGTGCAATAAAAAAAGAAAAAATTCTTTGCGAAGTTGCTTCTTTGTGAAGCTTCGTATAAAGTGTTCTAGCTTCCATTGCTACATTTCATGTTGTAGCCTAATCTCGATCGAAATAAATCTTACTTTAACATTGAGAAAATGTTAAGTTGTCTCATAATATTTTTCGCGTCTTTGAATTGAAATTATAATTTTCAAGAACTGAAAAATCTCCCTGGATGCACATTTACTGCTGTAGTTCTGAGTGAATAAGCTGCGCAACCACTTATTTGTGACAAACACAGAACCGCTACAGGCGAAGTTCGAAATTAGCACACCATTTTTTTCTCACATTTTAGCCATCAAAAAAATACAGTATGTAAGTGTGACTACGAATTCATAATATGAGGAGTATATGCGTGAACAAGTGAGAGATTCAAAGAAATTTTCTGGACGGAAAGACGATTTTCTTTCAGATTTCTTGGGTATTTATTCTTAACTTCTCAGTTTTTGGCTATAAACTTTATGTGTGTCAGTCTTCATGTTGTTTTGGGACTACCTTGTAGAGCTTTCTTTAGTCTATAGAATAGTGCCCCGACTGTTTGAGGTACAGGAAGATTACGATTAACAGTAAGAAGTCAAGTTGAGAAAAAACTATGAGGACCTAATAGAATTTTCATGGAGAAACTTTGTATCTCAAAATTGTTGAAGATGTAACAAATCTGTTCAAAGATAAGGGGCAATGACGAGAATGCTTGGTATTATTAGCATGATTCCCCCTCCCCTTCACACTAAACCAAAAAAAGAAGAAATTCCTTGAACGTCTGCATTTCTCTATATAGTCTTATTATGAAAGAGTTTAGGCGAACAAGGAAGAGAACTATGTATGCAAAACTTTTTCTGAACATACATGACATTTCAAGTGTGAATCTTCAAAAGCACGGCCCACCCTAAGGAGCTTTGAGGGTCTTGAGCTTTTGGCAGCTTTTGATAGTAGGGCCCCCTATCAAACCAATGCCCAAATCGCGGCGCAAAATATCGCTTCAGAAGCGGAAAAATCGCTCCGAAAAACGAAGATGCAGGAGGACCCTCAGACGGCACCGCCCTCTCCATCTATGCCCACCCATCCGTGCGCGACCATCCAATCACCGTTGCGGAGAATCGGCCCTGCGGTTTCTCCGGAACGGGGATTGTTCGTTTTCGCGAAATCCCGGTTTCATATTTGGAATCAGGGACATGGGAAGGCCCAGGAACGACAAGAACCTGAAAGTCGACAATCTGGGTGAATCCTTTAAGCCCTAGGAGGGTCTACATCAAAACAGCACAAGTTTTCCAAGTTTCCATCGGCAGAACGACAATTACTCAAAGGACTCAAAACCCATGTAAGCACTACGTTACTTCAACAGTGATTCATCCCCACAGCCGACAATGATGGGATGAACTTGATAGTTTTAGGCATTTGCCTAAATCCGAGCTGTTAAAACAAAAGAAGAAATAGATTTGTACTTTATTAAGTAAGAAAAGGGCTTGTGTTATGATTATGACCCCTTATGCCTACATGCTTTACCTAATTGACTTGCTAAATGTCTGATATGAGCAAAATGAACGTAAAATGAAAGTTGACCAAACAAAGCTCACATTTCTATTAGGTCGTTCCAAAAGTAATTTCGCTTTTTTCAAACCGGCGCCAAATCTGATGGAACGAAGATTTCTAAGATATTTTGATAGCATTCGATGCAGCATTTCATTCTCTTTCTAAGGGTTATGAAATTCTTGCAAAACAATCAATGAGCTTTCAGAAAAAAACCAAAATCTACGACCCATGCTTTTTGAGATGGTTAAGTTTCACGTTTTTTCAAAACTTTCATATCAATCCTCAGAAGGATTTCAAGTAACGATTTGATAGAGCAAACCTTATAGATTGCAGTGCAACTTTTTTCTCTTTTTTATAGCTCGCCGTAAATTTATAAAAGATATTTTGACAAAACCACCGGATTTTGGCAGGCCTACATCAGCCACAATCGCATCAAACATCATAATTATTCGGAACTTGAGACTACTCAAATGGTCTCTTGAGTTAGCACTCATTTTACGTAGCAAGTGAGAGTTTACGGGTTCGAAATATCAAATTTCGAGTTTTACGGGCACAGCCGGGGAAAAAATGGTTATGGTGATTTTATCTCCGAAAACTAAAGAATCGGAAACAAAAACACCCGCTAGACAGAGGAGAAAATGCTGCATCGAAAAAGACCTGAGCTGCTCTTCCTTTGATGTTCTAAGAAGATTTAGCTGTCCAAGTATGGAAATCGGCAGCATCAGTAAAAATTCTGTTCAAAATGTATGACACGCAACTGAAAGGAGAAAAAAGTAGTTTTGCATTCTGTAGGGTTTGCTCCTTAAAAACCTTACTTGTACTTTTTCGGAAGATTGACATAAAAGTTTAAAAATTGTGAAAACTCGCTCTCAAAAGCATAGGTCGCAGATTTTGGTTATTTTCTGAAAACTCATTGACTATGTTGCAACAATTTCATAACATTAGAAAGAGGATGAAATGTTGCATCGAAACCAAAATGCACCAAAATCTCTTAGAAATCTTCGTTCCATCAAATGTGGCGCCCGTTTGAAAAAAGCGAAATTACTTTTGGAACGACCTAATATTTCAAATTCATCATTTGAAAATCTTTTTCTGGTGTGGGCGAGCATACAGCAAAGGTGAACATCTATTAACAAGCGTCAGAATGTTGTAATCATCAGCAATCTCTATACTGAATCATTGTCGGGGGCCACTCATCAGAGGAATATTTCAATTTTTCCTTTGATTGCGATTTTCATCAACCGTATATTTACAAAATGATGCGATCACAATAGCAGAGCAAGCGTTTGTCATGAGCCCACCTTCTGAAGAAATGTACAAAAACGCTAACGGAGCCTATACTCGCAAATTCTTTCGACTTGTTCATTCGCTGATATGACATCATATGCAATATATCTTGGTAAGTGCTCACTTTGCCGAGATGTTTCTTATACTGGCTGGTAAGGGCTGCAATCAGTCTGGATAGCATGCTAAAAATGCTTACAACAAGATAATGTACTGAGCTGAATTGCGCAAAAGCTTGGAAAGTGAAGTGCCAAGATCTTTTATTTCAACTTCATGACTGACTACGCGTTGCTTTGTTTTTGACCCTTTCCTTTGTAAGTGGGAGATACGTTTGTGTGCCTAAGGTTACATAAGAAACGTGACTGTAATACTCCATAGTTACAAGCGAATGTAGCATATGTAATGATGGAGATCCTGAAGATGATTAATGGCTTCAAGCTTGACACTTTGCTTTCACCACTCTTATATGCTTGAAAATACATATAACTGCTTTTTCCAATATGTACTCTTCACGGTTTCTGCTTTCGTGTTGAATTTCATGTTTGTTTATGATAGCACAAGAGTGGTCCACGATTTTGAGTATTTTTTGCCGTGACTCGTACAAAGAAGCAACACAAATAATGTGTGAAAACTGTATAGTTCTGTAAATAAGACAGAGATTTTTTTGATTACCAGTAAGCTCAAGAGAAACCACGTCAGTCATTGACTTAATTCATCTTTGATTCCCATTCATATCACGTCCATTATTTTCACAGTCTCCGATCAATAAGGTTCGAGGGATTTCGCTATTCCAAAGTAGGCCATAGGAACCAATCCCAATGCATTAGTGACGCCAAAAGCAAGAAAATCTATTTCACAGTAATTTTTACCCCTCCTCTATCCGCATTGCACGCTCTCCGACTTCGTGTACAAAGGACTCGACCTGTGAGCCAGTAAACAGAACTGAATCAGTCAATTTTTTTTGCTTCCGATGACAGGCCTGCTTTGGTATAAAAACAAAATCCCAAAGCTTTTAGTTCGACCGGATGCCCACCCGTTGTCGAAAATGAGCTATGTGCGTTTCCCGCAAGACTTTCTTAGTTTGCTCAAATCCATAGTTTCCTCTAGATCGTTGGAAATGAGTTGACCTTCAGTCTGCTAAGTAAGCTTTGACTTTTTTCCAACTCCAATACGTGTCAAAAAGCAGTCTCCAATGAGCCAGTCGTCGGAAATCCATGAGGCTGAAACTTGCGTCGTCTTCATTAGAGTACATAAAAATTTACATTATGAATTCCGGCCTATAATAGCAACAGTACCAGTATATAGAATACCGCTCACATTTTTTGAAAAAAAGACGCGAATGTCGCATCATGTACGAACATCACCGTTGCGCGGTGCATCTTCTGATGTATAGAGGTGTCCACTTGGACACAGTAGGAGGTCAGATTCCACGAGTCATCTCAGGTTTTTGCTTACGGTAGGTTAGTGTGTATATTCATTGCACACATTGAACAATCTATATCCGAAAAGGTTCGTGGAATCTGACTTCCTACTGTGTCCAAGTGGACATTTCTATAACATCAGAAGATGTACATACATATAACATCACCGCCGCGCTGAGCTGAGTCGAATGATGGCTTTAAATGCAGAATTCGTCCACTCTGAAGCGAGATATGGCCACGCGACGGTGATGTTCATACATGATGCGACATTCGCGTCTTCTTTTTCAAAAAAAGGTGAGTATTGTAATAATAAGTGTGGCAATGTTCCAAAGTTTTTTGTTGCTACAGCCCATACAGAAGTTCTCTTAGAATTCTGAATATTACTCATTGATAACAAAAATAAAAAGTTTTTAATTCACAATGTGTAAATAACCAAAAGACTCCGTTTCGTTCCTACCCTTAGACGGAGTAAAAGTATTTACAGACCTTTTCCGGAGCTTCTCAGTAAGGAAGGACGGTCTGTAAAACTTATTTTCAATACTGAGAAGTAAATTTGTTTAGGGGTTAAGAGTTTCATGAATGTTCTTGAAGGAATGAACAAAAATTTCATATTACTATTAATCGTATTGCTTGCAGTTTTACTCGCTTCCATTGTTGTCACCGACGGACAGGGTTCCGAAACATCCAATGATGTAGAACACATGGGATCGTTTTATACGAGTGGAAATAACATTAGTCCTAATGCTACCGCAACAGGCAGTGGGAGCAATGTTACCGCAGCGGGCGGTGGGAGCAATGTCACAGCAACAGGCAGTGGGACAGGCAGTGGGAGTGGCAATAGTCCTAACGTTACTGCAACAGGCACTGGGAGCAACGTAACCGCAACAGGCAGTGGGAGCAATGTTACCGCAACAGGCAGTGGGAGTGGCAGTAGTCCTAACGTTACTGCAACAGGCAGTGGGAGCGGTGCTGCCGCAACAGGCAGTGGGAGCAATGTCACCGCAGCAGGCAGTGGGAGCAATGTTACCGCAACAGGCAGTGGGAGCAATGTTACCGCAACAGGCAGTGGAAGCGGTGCTGGCGCAACAGGCAGTGGGAGCAATGTTATCGCAACGGGCAGTGGGAGCAATGTCACCGCAACAGGCAGTGGGAGTGGCAATAGTCCTAACGTTACTGCAACAGGCACTGGGAGCAACGTAACCGCAACAGGCAGTGGGACCAATGTTACGGCAACAGGCAGTGGGAGTGGCAATAATCCTAACGTTACCGCAACAGGCAGTGGGAGCAATGTTACCGCAACAGGCAGTGGGAGTGGCAATAATCCTAACGTTACCGCAACAGGCAGTGGGAGCAATGTTACCGCAACGGGCAGTGGGAGCAATGTTACCGCAGCAGGCAGTGGGAGCAATGTTACCGCAACAGGCAGTGGGAGTGGCAATAGTCCTAACGTTACCGCAACAGGCAGTGGGAGCAACGTAACCGCAACAGGCAGTGGGACCAATGTTACGGCAACAGGCAGTGGGAGTGGCAATAATCCTAACGTTACCGCAACAGGCAGTGGGAGCAATGTTACCGCAACAGGCAGTGGAGGTGGCAGTCCTAACGTTACCGCAACAGGCAGTGGGAGCAATGTTACCGCAACAGGCAGTGGGAGTGGCAGTCCTAACGTTACCGCAACGGGCAGTGGGAGTACAACACTTTCTCTTGGAGTAGCTTTCCACGTGCTTATTGCTTATTGGCTTTCGTAGTCTCTGTTGCTCATTTTGTGCAAGCACATCGAAAAGCTCCGAATTTGACTGAATGTAATCATATTTGCCAAGCAATGTTTTGAACGATTTGCATTGACTAGAAAATAATTCTTTGAGTTGAAAAAAAAATGTTAGAAAGCCATTGGATCGTCTTGTGGTCTTCTGTGCTTACAATGATGTAATACATGATGCAAAGCTTCTGTAATGAGTACGTTTATTGATTTAAAAATAGAGTTCCATGTACCACTAAAAGTTGCTGAACAAGCAAGGGATCAACATTTTCGAGGAAATTCAAGTGTATTCGCAGAACTGGGGATGATATGCAGCATATAAACACAAACAATCTACAAAGGAGTTAATGGCTGGTTGTTCCTCTGTTCTTGTTCCAAGTTCTTGTAACGCAAATTCCAAGTTCTTGTAACGCAGAAACAGTGAAACTTCGCCGTGATCAAAAGGGATACACCGAGACGCTGTAAGTCATATTGTTTCCTATAAGTGACGTTTAGTTCCTATTCACTAAATGCTAAAAAAGAATACTTTCATGCGTTAGTTAACAAAGCTATATATCATATTTTTTTCTGAGAGCAAGATGACGTTGACCAGCTGTGAAATGAAAAATGTCATGAGAGCAAAAGGTAGGTAATATATAGCAAAGCGGTGACTACGCATGATTCCACCTGCATAACCTGAAATTGTCGAATAAGACGCTAATATTTGAATCAATGAGATATTAGAGCCTAACAAAAAGGAGCAAGCTGACAGTCAGATTTGCTATAGAAAAATTATTGAGTTGAGAGCCACTTCCAGCTTCCTCTCTGAACAGGCCGCTACACACTTTTGTTCTCATTCTTTCTGTTTTTTGTGGCACAGATAGAATGCATCGGAACGAACGCAACCCCAACTGAGTACAAGATGCTTAGTGACAGTCAAAATCATCATAGAGTTACTTTCGAAGCATTCGTAGCATGTTGTAAGTGTTCTCTGAAAAATTCTTATATGAGGTACGATAATCTGATTGGACAGACATTATATGAACTTGGATGAAGAAGGAGGAAGCATTACGGTTAAAGATAAATTTGTAGTATCGCAAAATGAGATACGGGTTACCTCTTCTAGCAGCTTCTCTTAATCCAGAAAGCAGCGATGAGAGCTTCGCCATGATTAGTGGAGATCTGTTGCATATGCAAATCTAATAAGATAAATTGAGTACTGTGTAGAGATAATCATTGAACCTAAGAAACAAGAGGTAGAATTTTTGCTGTGATTGCGTTAACAATTCTATTGATCACTTTTTGGCACTAAACGGAAGAGGATGATTGTCAAACTTTGTGCCCGAAAAATGGCGGCTCCGGGTCAGGAGTCACACGCGCGCGGTGACCGCTCGCCGCGCACAAATTTTGTGCCTCACAATAACTCTCAGGTGCTAGAGTGGCGCGGCGCCACAGTAGGGGGGAGGGGGAGGGGTAGCAGATACATGACGATGGCATAAGTTACTTTGCGACAGGGTTACTGACGGAAGCTGAGTCTTGTACTGCTTAATGTCGCGTTGCGGCGTCTCTTCGCGAAAAATCGTTACTTCTGACCCGTACCGAAAAATGGCATCCCTGAACTTTTGGCCGAGTGCTAAACTCATAGATCAAAGATGGAAAACGTAGTGCGGAAGTAGTTATTATGTAAGTCCGTGCAGCTGTATTATCTCTGCGATTTTCCGGAGAAATACAGAAAGCACAGATAAGTTGATTTACTGATGCTAAAAAAGGAAATATCTCCTACCTTAATTCAATATGTTCCACAGCAGGTGTTGCGGCTCCGACGTGCTCAGCACTCTAGCCTCGTACGACTACAACACAACCACTCCCAGCCTTAGGAACTATGTGTACAACACCGACGGGCCCATCGGCGCGTCCATTCGACGCGATCACCTACTCTACTACTGTGACATGACGCGCGTCTAAATTGATTAAGTTTATGAACAAATAACAAAATATATACAACAAATACAAATATATACAACAAATACTACACTACTAAATTCCCAAACTGCTAGAGAATAAATAAGAACAACGGAATATATACACGGGCGAGCCGCGGATCCCCGTGCTACCGATGCTAACTTGGCTCACTCTGGATAAAAGATGTCTGGGTTCCTCCACAGGACCGCCGCTAGATGCCCAAGCCCATGAATCGGACGGCGCGACCCCAGCTCCACTCCCGCAGCCTTGTTCGTCTACCAACACATGATACTTTCCAGCGCTTACGCGCGTACGACACACAAGGATGACGAAAAGCTCAATATTTAAACACGAAGATCTTCTTCTGCGGGAACTGCTGACAACCGAAGATAATCGATAAGACGAAGGTTGATGAGGCACAGACTGGACTCCACTCAGCCTTATATAGCCCTCGACTTAGCATCGTTCCCAGCTTGAGGTGGTTCAGCAGCCTACAAAAGGCGCGACAGATAAACGCGGCATCAGCGCACCCGGCACCTGTTCCGAGGAACGTCTCTGCATCGCGGAGCCGCAATAGCAGGGATCGAATTTCTCATAGTAGTGCACATGTCCCCAAAATCTCATATCCACCTCATTTTGAAGTAAAGCCTCTTCCAAGCCAGGCACTTCCAGTTCTCAGCTGTGAATCATTGCGCCTTTGGCGTCTAAGGCCCCGGGCAGACTTCACGCGATTTGATCGTCGCGACTGAATCGCGACGAGACAACTGTTACAACATCATTCCATGACGATCAACTTGCATTCGGTTGTGATACTTTTCCAGCCCGATATTTTTGAATGTGAAATGAAAATGAATGGAAACCCTGGCGATTAGATCGCGACGATTGAGTCGCGTGAAGTCTGACAGGGGCCTAACAGAAAAATTTCACCATTACCATTGTGCTATTTGCGTCCACACAATTATTCTTGCTAACCAACGAGCAATAATATGGATGAATATTTGTGATACGCATAAATCCAAACCCGTCATGTCGATCTGAGTTTGCTGCCTAAATTTTGGAGTATGACAAGTGAAAAGGATTCACTTCTGCAAACCTCCAAAACATGTTGCAACCACAAGTTATCGTGACTTTAATAAAGCGGTTAGCATCTGTCTTTCTGTCCGTGTATGTATGTGTATGTCTGTCTGTCACGAAATTCACAGAGGAAGCTGCAGCCAAGCTATTCGAGCTTCAATCTTGCATAACATACAGCACCGCTATGTAGGTCCACCATGCACAAGAACGAGCCAGTTCGATAAGCGGGTCCTTCGAAATTTGCGCCTCAAACGGGTCCACGCGGCCTTTTACAAGCAAAACTAGGTCGCTGATTCGACTTTTTGCAAAATCATGATTTTCCTGCCAAGTAGATCTGCGCCCCATGAATTCTAGCCTAAAAAGTGCTGAAAAAGTTTGCTTTTTTGCGCAAACAGCGCCAAAAAGTGGAAATCTCCTAGGTAGTCGATTTGACAAGGTTTTACCTTTAAATTTGGAAGGATTTTTACTTGGAAATGTAGCTCAAAGTGACTATTATCCTTATGACGACTACCAAGCCAAAACAAATTCAGTATTCCATCCATATTCGCGGGTGTTCCTTTTTGAAAAAGGCTTTCTTCTCAAAATTACCGATCTTACATGAAGATGCTTTAAGAATGAACAGCTGTCTACGATTCATTTGTGATGTCATCGCGTGGTGACTTTTAAAGTCATCATTGAGCGAGCAGGAGAGAAAGCCGCACGGATAGGAAAGCCAGTGCGAACCTCCGCCAAGCGGAGGTGACGCACTGGTGTGTTAATAAAGTGCTTTGCCAAGTATGTCGTGATAACCGTGATATACAGTACTGTGCGCTACCCGATACGGGATCGAACTCAAAATGTTGCGAGCCTTTTGCACTTTTCAGAAAACTAGGCGCTTTGATCACCAACTCAGGGATTCGCGCCGTGCGGGCGGTCCTCATTAAAGCTCCTCCGCCTGAGCGCATTGCATAGTTTTTGATGTACCGTGCGTGCGGTCAACAATAAAAATGCCGTGCAAGCGGA